TAGAGGAGCCGACAGCAGCGGCTGAGGGTATGGCGGTTGACGGCGTGAACAGTAAAAACAACAATACTCCCAAGAATACGATGATGGCGGTATTGCCAGAGGGGCCTTCAACGAGAGAGCGGCAGCCGGGTGCCACCGATGTGAAGGAAAGACTGCATTCTGAAGATTCTTCTTTTTTAGCACAAGAGGTTCAGCAGCACCAGCAGTTTCTTCAACACCAGCAGCAGTTGCAACAGCTTCACCAATTTAGCCTTAGCCACCAATATCATCAGCAACAAAATGGCTTGAAGTTGAGGAGTGGCGGGCAACAACATCAACAGGCGTTCTGGGGACACCATCAACATGCTTCATTGATGATGCAACATCAAATGTATGCGTTACAGAGTAGCGTCGATAACTCTGTTTCTAATGCGTTGTGCGCCTCAATCCACGGGGGAGCCGTTTTCCGGCAGCAGCAACAAAACCAACAACACCAGCAACAAAATACAGGCGGAGCGGCATATCCGGTTGCTGCAACACCCTTCGGATTATCCAGAATGCCTACCCATGATATTCCTACGTCCAATTTGGCTGTTCCAATTGCGAATGAGGGTCAACAACAGCAAAAGCATCGGGAGCAGATTTCCACTGCAGCTCATAGATCTGAGGGGGCTGCTGCTACTAGTGGTAGTAGTAGTGGTAGTAGTAGTGCTAGCAGAAACGCTAGAGGTGGAGGCACCGGGCGTCCGCATCACCGAGGACAGGGGGAGGATGTTGGAGAAGGAAGAGTTGCAGAAATAGCGTCAACTGAAGGCACACACGGCAAAAATAACAGGCCCATGTGACACAACTCCAAGAGTGGGAAGAATGTGTAGATAAAGTGAAGGGATATCAAAGATGAGGTGTAGCTTTTTTATTTCCTGAGCAGAGAGCCAGATTGGCAGGACGAGTTTATTCAGTTTTTTCTTTTTTTTCTTTTTTTTTTTCTTGAGAAGTGGGCTTGGCACATGCATACATTTACTTGTTTCACATACACAGTGAGTGCGAGAGAGAGGGAAAAAGACGGCAGGGAGTAATGCTGAGGTAAACCGAAGAAAAGAAATTTAAATACTGAGAGGAGGAGAGTGAACCGGAAAGGAAAGAAAAGAAAAAAAATAAATAAAAATTGAAGAAGTGGGTGGAGAAAATGGGAATGAGAAAATGCGCATGTTTATGAAGTACGGAAGAGAAGGGGCTTTATTGAAGGTAATGGCCGCGTTATGTTGAATTTCCTTTTCATTGTTTTAATGTTTTTTTTTTTTTTTTTTTTTTTTCTTTTTGATGTTGTTGTTATTGTTGTTGTTTTCATATATATATATATATATTTTGCGACGGTGATAGAATTCCCTTTTTTACACTTTTTGTACCACACCCACACCCCCCTCCCGTGTTTGCTTGCTTGCTTGTCTACTTTCTTTGTTGGATCCACTCAAAAAAAAAAAAAAAGAAAAAAAAAAAAAGAAAAAAAAAAGTCATGTGTATTTCTCTTTCTTTTCGTGTTTGATGTTTCTGCCGAAAGTCGATATGTGCTGCGGATGAGAGGGAGAGGCGAGGGAGGGGAGGCGAGTTGGATGCGAAATGCCGATAAAGAAGGCATGTCATTTTTTTTTTTTTCTTTTGCTTTTTTGTTTGTTTGTTTGTTTTGTTTTGTTTGGGATGTTGTCGCCCATCTTCCCTTTGCGAGAAGGGCGCTGAGGGAGTGGGGATGGTTGGATGCCCACCCCGCCACCCCCCTCACGTTGGTGCGTTGTGCTGCCACCACGTGAGGTGGCCAGGGAAAGGGGGCAGGAGTGCGTGAGGCGTGAGGGATGCGTGAGGCGTGAGGCGAGTTAAAAAGGAATTTTTTTTTTTTTTCCGTTTTTCTTTTCTTTTCTTTTCTTTTCTTTTTTTTACGTCGAGAAGAGGCCTCCGCCCTCATCCCCCCCCTTTTTTTTTTTTCTTTTTTGTTTGCAAATTCCTCTGCGGGGAGAGGAGGTCGGGGCAGCAGTTGTGCATTTCCATCGGAATTTTGTGCTGTTTTTTTCTTTCTTTTTTTTTTTTTTTGTGTGTGTGTTTTGTGAGCGCTTCTTCCAGTCGTTTTTAGCGGTGGGTTGCGCTCGCCGACACAACTTTTATTTGCTCATTTCTTCTGCACACAAAACACCGATGCATGTACACTCACGCCTACAAACACATACTTTACACCTGCCCCATATAAAAACTTTCCGTGTTTTTTTTTTTTTTGTTTTTTTTTTTTTTTTTTTTCTGCGACGAAATACAACGGACGTTTTTTTTTTTTTCACATGCAGATACTCTGGCAGCGGTGGCACGTCCCATTTCAAATTATTATTTATTATTTATTATTTTTTATTATTATTTTTGGGTTTTTTTTTGTTGCCGTGGCTCAAATGCCCAATTCCGCATTTACTGTCTGCATTGACATCGTTTCTGTTTTTTTTTTTTTTTTTTTTCTTTCACGCACACACGCACACACAAACAAAACAAAACAAAACAAAAAAAACGCATACACGCCTTGAATTGGAGAAATAGAGGCCGGCGCAAAGAAGGAAACCATAAAAGGAGGCAAGAAAACACGTGATGGCGAAATCTTCGCGATCCAAGTGGAAGAAGCTGCACAAGCGGCAACGCGCGCAGGAGGTTGCCGCCGTCGTACAGAGGCGTGTTAGCCGTTTAAACGACAAACTCCGCCTTGCAGCTGAGGGGGGCCTCGGTGCGGTCCCGATGCAAGATCCCGAGACACGTTTTCATTTTTTGAACCCCGAAATGGACATGAATGTGCCACAGAACTGCAAAGGGCTAAATAATAACTTTCAAGACATTGTCCAGGAATCCCTTGACTTCTCCAGACCACTTCACCTGCAACCCCCGAGGACGAATTTCCACGGGAAGAGCGACCCGAACGCACCGCACCGAATGACACAGCAGTTTGAGTTACTGGACGCATCTGCACCTGTCGCTGGTCATGCCATCACTGTGAAGGACGTTGAGCGCATGGCAGTCAATAAAGAGCAGGAGCAGCGCCCAAATGTGGATCACCATGCAAATGAAGAGGAAGGGCCGAATGGAATGGACAACGGAGATGGTGTGATGGAAGAGTTTGTTTTTGGGTGCAATGATGCCGCAGAAGAAACAACAGCGAACACCAAAGCGTTGCTTTTTTCTGTCAGTGATGCTGCAGCGGTTAAGAAGAAGCAGAAGAGCAAAATGGCCGAAACACCACGTGCAGTGCCCCAGCGTATATGCAGCATGGCGGGGGCCGCAAAGAACGGCGGCCGCCTTTTGCAAGTCTCGGGCAACAAGAAGGCGAAGCGGCTCTCCAATGCACTATCCACACGCTTAGTGAAGTCCGGCAGTAGGGCTGCGAAGAAGCGGGTCACAGCCAGTCACGAATAATAAAGGGACGGACGTTTTGGACCGAACGGACTTTGACCTTCCATGTTCTTTCATTCGACCGCAGCGAAACCAAAACAAAACCAAAACAAGAAAAAAACAAGAAAAAACTGCACGAGTGATGCGTTTAAAAGTAACAGCAAGGTGCTTTTCCGATTCACCACTAACGCGAGAAGTGATTTTTGTACGGTGCGCGTGTTGTTTGATGCTATGTTACATATATACATATATATATCTTGTTTTTGATAAAAAATGTACTCTCAATTGCTTTTGCCTGTTGTGTGCTACCAAAAGGTAAACAAACAAACGTGCAAAGAATATAATAGGAGTGCACAGAAGAAGGGAACAATCGCAGTGAGGCCTCTAAAGCCTCTTTTAGTTTTGTGTCATTCGTGACTGCCTCATTCTTCAACCTGAAACAAACAGGGCTGGGAGAGGGGTGGTGGATTAGTGGGAAGAGGAAACAATAATAAACTGCGGATTACTTTGTTGTCTTTGGGCATAATACAGAAGAAGACGCATATCTACCAAACTACATTAATAGTTATACATCCATATATAAAAGGTAAGAGAGGGAAACAAGCAGACACAAGAGGTTGGAGGAACCAATTTGAATAGGAGGATTTCTCGGGAAGTTCAAGCGCCGTGGCAAAGTAAGCATTGCTTGATCAGGGGAAGAGAGGATACTTTTCCACGCCAACCCCTAATTGGTAGCGTCTTCTGCGGCAGCAAAAGAGCGATAAGGCATTACACGGTAGAAACGGAAGAGGCGCGGAATCATCAATGGGTGCGGTCATGAGCTGGTTTGATGGCCTCTTCGCCAAGAAGGATGCGACCATCTTGATGGTGGGTCTTGACGCCGCGGGAAAGACAACCATCCTTTGGAAACTGAAGCTGAACGAGGTGCAGCAGACTGTCCCGACGCTGGGCTTTAATGTGCAGACGGTGGAGTACAAAAATATAAAGTTCCATCTCTGGGACGTAGGTGGTCAAAAGCTTCTGCGGTCTCTTTGGAAACACTACTACGAGGGGGCAAACGCAATCATTTTTGTCATTGACAGCAACGACAGGGATCGGGTCTGGGAGGCACGACAGGAACTGGAGAAGCTTTTGCAGGAGCCACTACTGGTGGGAGCGACTGTCCTCGTGCTGTGCAATAAGCAGGATCTGCCGCACCGTCTGACCCCAGCGGAGCTGGTGGAGCAGTTGGGCTTCCGCGACCATAGCGCGACCGGACTGGGGGCAGCGATGCGTGGCCGTCAGTGGTTTGTTCAGGGTTGCTGCGCGCACACGGGTGACGGGCTTTTTGAGGGGCTTGACTGGCTGTCTAGTCACCTGCCCGATGTTTCTTGAGGAGCGGGGGGAGGAGGCGGAGCTAGAATAGAAGTGTTCGTGTTTGCGTGTGCGGAGGGTTTTGATGAGCTTGTTGGCCGTCACTTGCTGGCGGTGTTGACTTTTCTGAGTAACTGTGAGACGTCTGCTTCAATCTTTT